TCAAAAATAGCCCACAGTTTCAAAAGTCATCGAAATTTAGTCACTTTTCATGTAAAATTAAATCTGAACGAAAACATTGTTCAAAACCGGAAAATACTCTAGCAAAGTATACTGGAACTCCAGTATATTATGCCGGACCGGTCTCTATTGCAGCAAAATAGTAGCTATTTTTTAATGACTTGACAAAAGCTGACTATTTTTGAATTATCAGTCCGAAAACTGACTAGCATGAGTAAAAAGTAGTTATCGGCGGAGTTGGTTTTGGCATAAGCTATGAAAATTAGGTACTTAAAAAAATTAGAAAATTGTATTGCGGAAAAGTTGTGTGTTAGGATTACCTTATTATAAAACGAATTAGGAGATTCTTTTAATGTTTTATTAAGAAGTCCACCTTTGGATCAAGTAGAGAGGCAAACAGTCTTTGGGTTCGGAATTTTAGTCTCTTTAAATTAATGGGTTCTTAATTAATAATTTGTACTTATAATACAGTGTTTGTAACCATTTCTTGAAATCCTAAGAGTTCTTGCATTTGACTTTGACCTCCCACCTTGCTCTTGCTTACCATTTTTGACTTTCTTCAGCTTGACCAATTCACTATCCTTAAAATTTGGAGATCTTACTCCCATTTTCATGAGTAAAAAGATTTAGGCCAACCCCATTTCCTGAATCCCTTGATAGAATAATCAAACTCATAGCAACTTCCTCTTGTTCTTGTTCAATCTCAGTTACAGTAGAGGAAGTTGTAGTTGTTATGTACCTTTTGATTTTTGTTGATGATCTCTTCTTCTTATTAGGAGTTGCTATTTCAGTATGAGATTGAATATCCATAACCTGATTTTGAACTGCATAATTAGCATTATTGTTCCAAGAATAACAGTACTACTGTTGAAAGATGATATTATTTTCTCTGAGTGACACTTGATATGGCCAAATAATGCTTGGAAAGTTTTGCCACATCCTTTACAAAATTTGCAGCCATTTTGCAAGCTTATGAATGTAGCCTCATGTTGTCTCAAAGTTTGTTTCTTTGGTTTTGAGGGTGCACATCAAACTATGGACACCCTGTTTAGCATGTTTCCCAAGTGGAAAATTGAATTCAAACTTAATGAAATGTATTAGACAATGTGGGTATATATCAATGCAGACTTAGGAAGATCCTCCAAATTGCTCTAGACAAATGAGCAGTCAGTCAATCCAAATTGCTCTAGACGGAGGAGCGGGGATCATGCAGTCTCTTGACAGGATAAGGGTACACTTTCTTGTTACAAACACATCATATGCCTTCTCCTTCCACCCTTTTTTTTTTTTTGTCTTTTTGAATTGTCTGCATTTATGTATACCATAGTCCTGTCTAATGTCACTCTTCTTTCTTCTTAAATAGAACATTTGGGGAAGAAGATCCCCGCATTTAACAAAAGGGGATGTTTTAACCGTCTTTTTTCCTATTTCATTTACACAATATCGAAAACTTAAATGCTCACAAAAAGAAGGGAGGTTTGAAATTGAAATGCATACAACAACTGATTTAATTTGCAATTATTCAGTGTTTTGTCTTATCCATTAAAGCTGGTTGTTCTTTAGTATTTTGCTAATTAAATGCCTTGTTGAACTTCTGTTAATTGAGTAGTTGGCATAGATGGAGCATTATTAAAATGTCAAAGATAGATTTAGTAGTTTGCACTGAAGTGTGAAATATAGGGGCCTTGGCAGTAATAACAAGCATGTTTTGAGTCAGACTGCGTAATTGATATGTTGTAGATTAGCTGGTGTGTGTATATATGCACTGTTGCACAACTCCCTTTTGGGCATTGGTCTTAGGATTGAATGGATTAATTTGACTTGTATAAATAATAACTTCAGCTGGAGCTTGTATCATCTATCATTTAATGTTCAATAAGAAATTACTCAAGTTTTAATGAATCCTTAACTGTAGCTCTAATTTTTACACGTTAAATAAGCTGATCAAGCTGATTGTCTTCATCTCTCATATAATTTAGTACTGTGCATGTCATTTTTCATGTGAAATATCACCCTTTATTATTAGAATAAATCACTTTATGAAATATTGGAATGATTAATGATTATTAGTGAAAGAAAAAACTAAGAACAAGTTTAGCATACGTAAAGTTAACTCTCACGGCCAAATTTGTTTTTAAATGTTATTATTAGTAATACTATGTGGGGTTGGTAAACTTGTGCTTCCAAATCCAAAGAGAGAAGGTCTCCAAGCTCGGCAACCGAACCCTTAAAAACGCCTTCTGTTTTCTTCATTTTCAGTCAATTTTGTTGACTCAGTTCCTGTCACGACCCCAACCCCGGTCGTGATGGCGCCCAACACATTGCTAGGCAAGCCCGACCATTTACACAACCTTAGCCAATAAATCTAGATAGATGAATAAATATTCACTATTAAAAATACCAATTTAGTGCGGAATTTCTGAAATAATTTCTAACATTCGAAAACCCCAAAATGGAAACAAAATACTTATCAACCCACAGAATCTGGTGTCACGAACATGAGCCTCTAAAACGGAATATTCACCTATCACAAGTCTGTCTAGGAAAGAAAAAAAATACGAATAAAAGGATAAAATGGATGGGAGAGATCAAGGCTGCGAACGCCATGCAGCTACCTCGATACTCCCGGATAAATGCTGCTCCGCTAAACAAGCCCTCACTCACCCTGTGGTGTACCTGAATCTGCACACAAGGTGCAGGGAGTATCGTGAGTACTTCCAACCCAGAAAGTAATAAACATAAATAAAGGTTGAGAGTAAGAAATCCTAGACAGGCACAAAGTAAGCTATAATTACAGCAGCTCAATTTAAATAATGTCAACTCAATAAACTAATGAAAGACAATTATAGAATATCACAACAGACAAATAAGTAAATGGCAATTAAGTATGCAATGCAACACATAAACTGGTACCTCCAGTACCCCGCTGCGGCCGTGCAGCCCGCTCCATTTATTTAACGTCGACGGCGCTCACTGGGGGTGTGCAGACTCCGGGAGGGGCCCCTTACGGCCCAAGCGCAATAATAAACCATCTCGTGGCATCAAACCGGCCCTTGGCCGCATATCAATATCATTATAATACTGCTGCGGCGTGCAACCCAATCCCATACTCAGTCCAGAAATCACATAAGCCTTTCGGCACAATAGTATAAAAATATTCAGCCCAAAATTCATTTAAAATATTAACTTAATTTCTAATTTAAGAAGAAGGCTGAGTTTGCAAACACAATATTAAATACCAGGACTGAGTTTAATATTTATGAATATGGTAAGAAATCATTAAAACAATCCCTGAAGGATTCAAGTAGTTGGCACAAGGCCCCATGATAACAATTTAATCCAGTTTTATAAGTATATCACGAAACTACAAACAAATAGGTAGTAATTTTTATTAAGCGGGACGGGCCAAGTCACAATCCCCGACAATGCTCTACCCCACGCCCGTTATCCGGCGTGCAAGTCACCTCACATAGCACTACGTTGTGCAAATTCGGGGTTTCAAACCCTCAACACAGCATTTACATTTATTACTAACCTCAAGCCGGCCAAAGTCCTAGCTTGCTATGCCCTTGCCTTTCGAATTCACCTCTTCGCGCGTCGAATCTGACCAAAACCACAACGAATACGTCACAATATGCTAAGGGAATATAACCCAATCGAAAAGACTCGAAAAACATCGAAAATCACGAAGTTGGCAAAACCCGAGCCCCGGGCCCACTTCTCGAAAAATTATAAATTTTACATCACCGGATTCCTTATCTCTCCGCGAGTCTATACATATAAAGAACACCAAAATCGGAGTCCAAATGACCCCTCAAATTCCCATTTTTGTTCTCTTAGGTTTCAAGCCCTAAACCACCATTTTTGACCTTAAATCCTTGAGTTTTCAGTCTAATTTCATGTGTTTGCACCATAAAATCGTGTTTTTGGTTTAGAAATTCTTACCTCAATGAAGTCCCTTGATTCCTCTCCTCCAACTCGCCCAAATTCTCCGAAGTGAAAATATGAAACCCTTTCAAAAATTCGCGAAGGGAAATAAAAACTATTCTGACCAGTTATTTCCGCATCTGCGGCTCCATGGCCGCATATGCGGCTCTCTCTTTTGCGGTCAATGCACCGCTTCTGCGGACATATCCGCTTCTGCGGTTTAACATCCGCTCCTGCGCCTCCCGCTTCTGCGGACAAATTAACGCATTTACGGATCCCCATAAGAGCTCAAATACTGCATCTGCGGTCCTCCTGTCGCATCTGCGATTCCGCAGATGCGGTCACCAATTCCGCACCTGCGGTCTCTGCCGCTTCTGCGTCTCTCCTCTCGCTTCTGCGGTACCGCTTCTGCGGTCCCAATTCCGCAGAAGCGAAAATACCAGAAGCAGCACAGGTTCTGCAAATCTCTTAAGTTCAAAACTTCCCGTTAGCCATCCGAAATCACCCCGAGGCCCTCGGGGCCTCAACCAAAAATACAAGCATGATCCAATACCTTATTCAAACTTGCTCCAATCATTAAAACACCTCAAACAACACTAAAACCATCATTTCTCATCGAATTCAAGCCTAAGTTCTTCTAAAACTTCCGAAACACGCATTCGATCAGAAACCCAACCAAAACACCTCCGAATGACCTGAAATTTTGCACACACATCCAACATCACCTAACGAAGCTACAACAACTCTCAGAATCTCATTCCGACCCCCGGATCAAAATCTCACCTACCAACCGGAATTCGCCAAAATACTAACTTCGCCAATTCAAGCCTAATTCTACACCGAACCTCCAAAATCAATTCCGATCGCACTCCTAAGTCACAAATCGTCCCCCGAAGCTAACCAAATCATCGGAATTCAAATCCGAGCCCTCTAACACAAAAGTCAACATCCGGTTGACTTTTCCAACTTAAGCCTTCTTAAAAGAGACTAAATGTCTCATTTCTTATCAAAACCATTCCAAACCAACCCTAACACATCAAATACTGATAATGAAACTTAAAGAAGCATAACATGGGGAAAACGGGGCGGTAACTCACGTGACGACGGGTCGGGTCGTCACAGTTCCCCACCAAATTGTAGTTAAGCAAAAGATAATATCAAAGTAACCTAACTTTCCCAAATGTAACCTAATATATTCATCACTGTCTTAATTCCAACTACTCTGTTGTAATTAATAAACACATATGAAGATGTAACCGAATTTCCAGGGCAATAATAAGATTGTCAAATTTCTCCTACTTTTCTTTGGCTAACGACTCCTGGTCTAAAGGGGTGATAGCTTCTATCAATTACAGTAAATTCCTATAAACCCCTTCTTCCATTAACGTCTTCAATTCCATCCTCAGAAACAAGGCACAATATTGATTCCATCAACCCTTTCAAAAATCTCATAATTATATCCTGTTTTGGTTGCATGATTTATCTTGTTTGTACCATCTTTCTTGCTCCTAACAACAACAACAAGCATTTCCATACCTCAGTTTCTTTACAGGATGATGAATTATCATCTCAAACCAATCTTGATCATATTGTTTTTGGAATTGCATCCAATGAGCAATCTTGGTCCAAAAGAAAAGAATATGTTAAGCTCTGGTGGGAACCCCATATAATGAGGGGATGTGTATTTCTTGAAAAGATGCCACCTTTTTCATCAAATGGCACATATAATGAGTCTCTACCTCCCATTTGCATTTCTGAGGATACTTCTCGGTTTAGGTATACGCATAGAGGTGGGACACCTTCAGCTATTCGTGTGGTCTCAGAGACGGTGGCGCTTAATCATTCTAATGTAAGATGGTTTGTATTTGGAGATGATGACACCATTTTCTTCCCTGAAAATTTGGTGAAGACACTTACTAAATATGATCATGGACTTTGGTACTACATTGGAACAAACTCAGAAAGCTTTATGCAGAATAAGTTTTTCTCCTATGATATGGCTTTTGGTGGAGCTGGTTTTGCTATAAGCTATCCTTTGGCAAAAGTTTTGGCCAGAGTCTTTGATTCATGCATTGGAAGATACCCTCACTTATATGGAAGTGATGGTAGAGTTCACGCCTGTTTAGCAGAGCTTGGTATTAGCTTAACACGCGAGCCCGGTTTTCACCAGGTGCCATTTTCACTTTCCTCTGAATTTCTTATAAACTACTTTTAGGCTATTGAGAATTTTCCTTTTCTGACTTTCTTGTTCTGTTTGTGTGAAATCAAAATACTAGATGGATTTTCATGGAAATGTGTTTGGAATGTTGGCTGCACATCCCATTAGGCCATTGGTATCTATGCATCATATGGAGGCAATTGATCCTATATTTCCGAATATGACAACAGTGAAGGCTGTGGAGCATTTGTACAAGGCAGCAAGCTTCGATCCACATCGGATTTTACAGCAAACAGTGTCAGTGTCTTGGGGATATGCTGTTCAAGTGTTTGATAGGAATGTGCTTTTGTCAGATGTTCAGCGCGTACAAGAGAGCTATGCTCCCTGGAAAAGGAGTCATTTAGGTGGATTATATGACTTTGATACGAGGAAATATGAATTTGATCCGTGCAGAAGGCAGCTTGTTTATTACTTGGACAAAGTGTTTTCTGGGAGCAATGGAACTGAGACAATTTACAAAAAGAAGACATTTGAGGAATGCAAATTTGACATGACTTCTCCTAGAAGGCTAGAAGAAATCAGAGTGTTATCGAGCAAGTTAGTCCTCGACAAACAACAGGTGCCTTTCTTGATCTTAGTACTGTTCTTTCTCTAAATTCTGTGCATTCTAAAATTTCCTTATTGTCTAATTTGGTCTAATGTGATATGCAGTTGCTAGCTCCAAGAAGGCATTGCTGTGATGTATTACATTCTACCTCGGGTAATGTCATGGAAATAGGGATAAGAGAATGCAAGGAAGATGAACTAATTTACATGCACCATTAGTGCAGTATATTCTTGACAGTCAGCATAGCAATCACCATTTGATGCGATGGTTTCCCCAATTGCCTGATCCAATCGCGCAATCTCCATTTCCACGAAATTTTGAATCTGAAGAAACCAATTCTGTTGTCTTTTTTGATGACTCATTGTTCCTGGGAAAAAAAGAGTTAGAGCATAAGGAAGTCTAATACCAAGCCTAGCAAGAAGCCAGCAGTTTTTTTGTTTTCTGAGCATTTAAGTTCAATGATCAAAGAGAATTCAGAACCAGACATAATAGGGGGTAGGGGGGGGGGGGGGTAAGTTTTTTTCTTTCAGAAGTCAGTTTTGTACATGTGTTTAGATGTATACGTCAGGAAACTAGGCACATAAACAAATTAGCAACATACATAGAATCTTTGTGACTTGAGAGTTAACCAGAAAAAAACAAAGTGTCAATTTTGACTCAAACTTTGTTCAAGATTTTCTTTCTTTGTGGCTTCACCTTTTCTCTTGCAAACCATGACCCCATTTAACCCTAAATGAAGCAACAAGCTGAGACTTAGTTGAACTATGACCCTTTGCTAGCCTTTTGCAGTTTTTCAAACATAGATTTCTTAAACAACTTTTAATCTTCATAAGTTTTGTGCACTGACCTTGCATATGTTTCAATTACATCATCAGGTGAAATGTCGGAGCTAGACGCCCCAATATAGGTTCAACCGAACCAGTAACTTTTACTCAACTAGTAGTATATTTCTATTAAAAAATTCATTAAATATGTACAACTATTAAATTTAGAACCCAATTGAAGTCTTACTAAAATTAAAACTCATGAAATTGACATCTTGGCTCCACCTCTGCTCTTCATATAAAATTTGATAGGCAAAATAGTCTAATAGAAACTTGTAATTGCACCTTACGGTTTTTATCCAGACACCTCCAACTTGATCAAAACAAGTCCTTTAGACGCCTTTGAGTATTGACCAAGCTTTTGTGCCGTTGAGATGAATAAAAAGTGTGTGTCACGAGTATAACGTGAATGCGATGATTCAACCAAAAAAAAAAAGCTTCCTTGGATGAGTTTCTTGCTTAACAGCTTGTTTGGATGGATGTTACCCATTGTATTGTAGCGTATTGTTACTTTAAATACGATGTTTGTTTTGGTTGTTACTTAAATTTTATTGTATCGTATCGTTAAATTTGTCGTTACATAACGACGAAATGTGGCACTTTATGTAACGACCGATTTGGTGTGGTCGCGTCGTTACCTTGTCTTTTTCTCTCAATCTCACCCTTTATTATTATTAAATAATTTTATTTTATCATTTACCCTGCCTTTTTATATAGTAATTTAACCCTGTATCATAATTTTTCTTTATAATATTACAAGTTTATTCTTCATATTGCTGGTGCGTAATATCATGAAACGATGACAAACGATACAATCTATCCAAATATTGTATTTATCAAACGATACAGTACAATACAGTACAGTACGATACGATACATTATGAAACGATGCGTAAGAACTATTCAAACAGGTTGTAAGTTGTAAATGCTGATTCATGTTTGGTTGGAGATATTCCATAATATCCTCTCTATCTGTTTTTGCTGAAGAACAATATGCTATTGAGGATGTCTTAGAGTTGATAAGGAGATAAAATGGATGTCTTAGAGTTAAGTTGGAAAGGAAAATGGATAATTGGTTTCCAACAAAATATCAATGCCATATGCCCCCTCCATTCGGAGTTACTATCCCTCCTTAGGGGCCTAGAAATAGCTCACAAATTTAATCTATTTCCTCTGGAGATAGAAACCGACTCAACAGAAGTCATCAAGGTTATTAACAATGGTCATGTCATACTAAACAACATCGTTTTATCTTGCAGGTCATTAATACACCAGGAGAAGGGCCTATTACTGAGGCATAATTTCAGAGAAGGGAACAGTGTGGCGGATGCATTAGCCAAGGAAGCAAAGAACCAAGAAATTAGCAAATATATGCATGAAGAAGCTAGAATATTAGCATCACCGCCTGTTTTTGTGGAAAAAATGCTTACATATGATATGAGCGGTAATTATATTTTGTCAAAAAAACTTTCAAGGATTGTATGCAATATGTTAGTATGTCTAGGAAATCAAAATATTATGATGGAAGGGATAACTAACCCTTCATCCAACTATGGTGAAGCCTCCTGTAATATGCAAAATTCTACTTAAGTTTTAAGTTTATATATATAACTCGTATTAACGTTAAAAAAAAGGAGATAAAAAATACTTTGAATTTTATTTAGACCTTTTTATTTACACAAAATAGATGACCCTCTACTCTAGTTTAAAATATCTAAAATATTAAATCCCACTGAATGCACATACCATTTTAGGTCTAAAAACAAATACGTCCCTTCTTCACTTTTTTAATGAATTAAGATTTCCCTCTTACTCCAAAATGAATTCTTAAAACTCCACTATTTATTGCTCGAATTTTCAAAATATAAAAAATATTCTTAATTAGTACGGCTTATAAGTATTCCATATTTATAATAGGCGAATTATTTTCTCCCTTCAACCCTTAATTAGGCGAAAATTATTTTCCAGCCTTTATTAATCCAATCGTTAAAAAAAAAAATCAATTCACTTTGACAGAGCAGTATGGGTCGGCGGTCGGCAGGGAACAAAAAGCGAAGATTTGGCAGCGGCGGCGGCGAAAAGCCTGTTCTCCAACTCCAAAACCCTAATCTCAATGCCAATCCCAAACCCATTGAAGAAGAACAAAAAACTCCTCCGAGTAAAAAGCCGAAGGTAATCAACAACAGCCACCAACAATTACCGCTCCTTGAATCGGAGCATTCATCATTAACTGATGCAATTAATGATAATGATGTGAATAATGGGCCAAGGTTTAAGGATTTAGGAGGAATGGATACAGTATTAGAGGAACTAAAAATGGAGGTAATTGTTCCATTGTACCATCCACAGTTAACTAAGCATCTCGGAGTTAGACCAATGTCGGGAATACTCTTTCATGGCCCACCTGGTAGTGGAAAAACAAAGCTTGCCCATGCTATTGCTAACGAGACCGGTGTTCCATTTTACAAAATTTCTGCTACTGAATTGGTCTCTGGAATTTCAGGTGCATCAGAAGAAAACATAAGGGAATTGTTCTCCAAAGCGTATAGGACTGCGCCGTCTATTGTATTTATTGATGAAATTGATTCAATAGCTTCTAAACGAGAGAATTTACAGAGAGAAATGGAACGGCGCATTGTAACACAGCTGATGACGTGCATGGATGAGTCACATAGGCTTGTAAAACCTAATGATGAAAAAGATGGTGATGGATTTAATGGCGGTAATGCTGGTTATGTGCTGGTAATTAATTGGGGCCACGAATAGACCTGATGGCACTGAGGAGGCCTGGACGATTTGACCGTGAAATCGCATTAGGTGTGCCAGATGAAAACGCGAGAGCACAGATTTTGTCTGTGCTCACGCGTACCCTAAGAGTTGAGGGCGCGTTTGATCTAATGAAGATAGCTAGGTTTACTCCGGGATTTGTTGGAGCAGACTTGTCTGCTCTAATTAACAAGGCGGGTAATTTGGCGATGAAGAGGATAATAGACGTGAGGAAGGTCGAGCTAACAAGTGAAGTGCTTGTAGATGGGAAAGAGGCTGAAGAATGGTGGAAAAGGCCGTGGTCACCTGAAGAGATGGCAAAACTCAGCATTACTATGGCTGATTTTGAGGAAGCAGCTAAATTGGTTCAACCCTCTTCTAGAAGAGAAGGTTTTTCCGCCATACCAAATGTTAAGTGGGAAGATGTTGGAGGACTTGGCTTGTTGAGGCATGAATTTGTTAAATAGATTGTTAATCCTATAAAGCGTCCTGAAGATTATACGGGTTATGGAGTGCATTTCGACACAGGATTTTTGCTTTATGGTCCACCAGGATGTGGTAAAACGTTGATCGCCAAGGCTGTTGCTAATGAAGCTGGAGCAAATTTTATACACATTAAGGGACCTGAAATTCTGAACAAGTATGTTGGTGAAAGTGAGTTAGCTATTCGGACATTGTTTACTCGTGCAAGAACGTGCGCTCCTTGTATACTGTTCTTCGATGAGGTGGATGCATTGACAACTAAGCGTGGCAAGGAAGGAGGTTGGGTTGTCGAAAGGCTTTTGAATCAGCTACTAATAGAACTAGATGGTGCAGATCAGAGAAAGGGTGTTTATGTTATAGGTGCTACAAATAGGCCTGAAGTTATTTGTCGACCTGGAAGATTAGGGAAAAAACTATATGTCCCTCTACCTAGTCCAGACGAGCGTGGACTAATTTTAAAAGCACTTGCCAGGAGAAAACCTATAGATGCTAGTGTCGATTTGATGAAAATTGGAAGAGACGATGCTTGTAATAATTTAAGTGGAGCTGATCTATCAGCATTGATGAATGAAGCTGCAATGCTTGCACTTGGAGATAAACTGAAAGCATCAGATACAAGTGATGAAAAGTCCCGGACTATCAAGGAGACGCATTTTGAACGGGCTGTGGAGAAAATTTCTCCATCTGTCTCAAATAAGCAAATAGAATACTACCAACTTTTATCAGAAACCTTATGAGCAGGAGGAAGCTAAAGCACAAAATTAAGGGTGTTTATTTATATCTCCAGCTCCCTATCCATTGGGAGAAATTGCGCGTGAGGCATATTTATCGTTCAATATGGATTCTTGTTAGAGTTATAACACTTTTTTCGATCTTGTATAAGAAGTAAGTTTGATTTGGTAGTAAATGTTGCACAGTATTTTGTGAGAAATAATAAGTTATACTAGTAGCACTAACAATATATAAGTGAATCAGGGCAATGCTAAAGATTCATGTTCAGCTCTTTTTCTTTTCTTCTTTTTTAGAAATACTTCTGTTTTCTTGGGAAGAAATAATATACTGTAATTTTATTATACTGTAAACGCCTAGGTTGGAAGAAATAATATACTGTAAATGTTTAACAGATTGGGTCAAGCATCCAAATACAGAAACTCAAGAATGACCCATATGCATTTTTTACCAGTCACTACAGCATACTTGTGTGTGAAATTAACATTTTTGTTCTCTTTAACTAATACTAAAGAATTAGACATTCCATGTGGAGACATATCACTTATGTAATCTTTCTTGTCAATGAAGTTGTTAAAAGGGTTTCAAAGGTAAAAAGGTGACCTGTAATTATTTTCGTACATGTAAGCAAATGAGACAATGTATTGGAAGCTTTACTCATGTTAATAATTATTAATACTTGGAATAGTTCTGTCTACAAAAAGTACAATCAAACTATATTTTTATATTTTAGTAAAAGAAATATCTGAATTAGTCTTCCACAATTTGCAGCTGCAAATTTATACAGTAACTTGCACTTTGCAAATGATGCTACCATTTGAACATGTAAAGTAGTTCCAAATTTATGTTACCCACTAATATTATTTGTTAGTATCATTTGTAAACATAGATTTGTGATTCTTAATCAAGAAAAGCAATAAATTGTGGCAGATTCAAATTTTAGACACAGTGAGTCTTGAGCTGAGCAAGTGAATTTTGAAATGTATATCTAATTCTATCTATACTTGCTTTCTCTCTATATATATATATATATATAAAATTCGACCCTGAAACTCGCGAACCAATTGTTGGCATTGACCAAATTTATTTGGAAGAAGTCAGCAAGAAAAAGTAGGAAAATATCCATTCCAATGGGAGAGACACTAAATTTACGTGCTTTCTAATTGTTCTCCTCGCGAAATGAATTAGAACTTGGTCTTTGTCTAATTATAATTATCTTAAGAATTGATTAGGTTGGTATCAGTTTTGATCTGACTTGGCCTGTTCAACATCAAGCTATCACGTTTTAGAGAGAGAGAGAGAGAGAGAGAGAGATTCTATATGAAATTAAGACTTTGAGCATCTTCATTCTAAATAGCAAGAAACTAGTGAGAACGTGCATACAGTTAGATGACAGGCTCCAAAATTATTCTCTTTTTAATTTTTTATTCATTCATTGTGAAATAAGATTGTGATAGTGGGGGCTTGTAAGTAGTAATGATTAGATAATAATCTCCTCCAGGATTAGGAATAACCCTTCTGTTTAGGCATGGCTTCCATGTTTCCCTGTTTCTTCGTCAACAAATATCAACTATATATAGAAAACGAACAATTATATTGGTTTCCTTAATATTTATTAATTATTCTTAATTTTTAACAAAATTTTCTGAATGAATCGTTTTCAAGATTTTACATACCATTGATTGAACATGTTCTTGTGTTATATTTGGACTAGAAAAAAAAAGGTCAACTAGCAAATTAAAACCAAAAAGAAAAATGTTAAACTGAGAAATGGCATTGTTTTCAGGAACAAGCTGTCAGTGGCTCTTGAGATTAAAATAAACAACTTCTCCTTATTCAACCAACGTGCTTTGTCCTTACTCTAATACAGTTGCATTAAATAGCTAAATCTTGCAGCTACTCTTAAGATATCCGAATTAGCTAATTTGGCAGCAATTTTTACGCCCAAATTAGCTAGTTTTCTGCTGATTGAATATGGCAATGCTAAGAGTATTGACTAGTTTGGTTGTCATAGCTATGGTGCTTGGGTCAGCCATGGCTACAGATTACACTGTGGGAGCTCCTAATGGTGGATGGGACCAAACTAGTGATCTTCAATCATGGGTTGCATCTCAAAAGTTGTTCGTTGGAGATAAAATAAGTAAAGTCATCTCAATATTTACATAATGTTTCCTAGTAAACAATCTTTTTGCACTTTGTAAAATGGATTATAATGATCCTCTCTTTCGTAACATCACATTTGTAAAAAAGAATAATGTATCTCATATTATTCAGTTGACACAAAAGAATGAGAGCCTTTGCCACTCTTAAAATCTGATTGCTACTCTCTCAAAACTGGCAGAAAATGTTAATTTTGAGCTTGATCTGGCAGATTTTTCCGCTGATCTTGACTTTATAAATTGTCAGCTTTTGTCTTTACAGACTTTTCTTGTTGTAGACACGATTAAATCTAATGTTGTGTTTTCTTGACAGCTTTTTCATACGCTCCAAGCCATACTGTGCTTCAAGTAACAAAGGCTCAATATGACTCTTGTGACAACACAAATCCTATTGCAATTTATAGCGGAGGCATGACAGTCATCACTCTAGCTTCTGTAGGCAAGAGATACTTCATATGTGGAACTGGTGGACATTGTAGCAATGGAATGAAACTTGAAGTCAACATTCTTGCCCCACCAGCCACTCCGCCAACAACTCCACCACCATCAACTCCCACAGCTCCACCGCCACCAACCCCGGCAACTCCACCACCGTCAACCCCCACAACTCCACCACCGTCAACTCCTACAACTCCACCGCCGTCAAGCCCTGCAACTCCACCAGCATCAGCCCCTTCCACCACCCCAGTTGCTTCACCTCCCTCCAAGTCTTCATCAGCACCCTCACCAAAACATGCACCTAAAATTTCCCCTGCATTGTCACCTTCCAAGTCCTCCCTTGCTCACAGCCCTGCAATGCCTCCTGCTGGCAGTCCAACAGCCCCTACTGTTGAGGACGCTGGATTGCCCCCTTCTGGCGCTTCTGCACCTACACCATCTGCCCCGTCATCAGCTGATAAAATCCGTGTCATTACTGGTTCTACAGTGGGATTTGGCTTTGCTGTTATGCTGATGTTCTTTCTTTAAGCCTTCAAACAATATTTGAGGTTGTTGTCATTTTTTGTTATATTGTTGATTCAATTCTATTTTGTACCTGCTTTTCCTCAGTCCTGGTTGTTTGTTCAACACATTCTATATTATGAAAGTTGCAAATTATTTACGGAGATAGAATGGACTTTAGCGTTGAAATTTTCTATCTAAAGCATTGCTACAGATCTTTCAGCTTTGATTCTTGATTCGGTAGAATCAGTAGAGGCAATAAATCTGGAGTCTTACACGACTTATGCCGATGTCTAACACAGGTTTAAAGAAAGATCACTGTCAAATTTCCTCAATATATTGCTTGTAACCGTGCATATAGTATGACAATACGTGTTTCAGCAAGTTCAGAGCCTTGATGTGAATTATCGGAACCCCGGCCCCATGAATCAAAAACAGATAGACCTCTTCCCTAGCAACCATAGCAGAAGGGTATTGAGAAAACACAAAATAGGTAAATCCTAGAGTAAAGAAAGGAATTCTGGTAGTGAGGACAGGAAGCAGAAGATACCAAAATGGCCACTCTAGCAAAAAAAAGCAAATCTTGTCAGTCTCAGTTCAGAAGAAAATATACTACGTAGTGCAAAAGTATGCTTAGGTAAAACAGCTAATAATATACATAAAACCAAGTTTTATTATTTCAGAAGGAATCCATTTAGGAATTATAATACACAAACTGTTTTCCCAGTGAGTACCCAGCATGTACACGATTTAGTAAATCGTCAAGACGTACTCATACATCAAAGACCAATAAATACAACCAGCAAATTGTCTCAGTTTGTCTGTCACCTTTAACATGCATAGGAGCAACAAAAAGACTAAAGCTCCAGTAGCAAGTCACCTGGAAAGTCCAGCTTAAGCAACTGGTGGACGGAGCACATGATCTTGTGATGTGTCAACAACAGCAGGTTGCATGAATTGCCACATCGCAACACTAGGATAGCCAATGAAAGGCATCATTTTGTTGCCAGCGACTTGTCCTTGTGCAGTAAATGCAGCTCCCATGGCAGAAGGATGGGAGAGAAAGCCTGGTTTAGAAGCTAAGTTTTTAACCTGCTGCTCCAAATTCTCCTTTTCTTCCTTTAGCCTTTGCTTTTCATCACGGAGCTCATTCTTCTCTGCCTGAACGGACAAAGTTTTTTCTTTTGTAAGTGCCAGAACATAGAGCTAAAGAAAAGAATAGCGTCCGCTCACTATTGTTCCAGAATCAAGACAACTGAAAATTAGCATGAATATTCTAGTAGATATTCAGTACCACTAGGATTAAAACTACACCTTAAGTTCTTTAATCTTCTCTTGCAGCTCCTCGTTTGAGTCCTTCAGCTTCTGCGTTTCAGCTCGCAGCTCAATCAGCATCTTTTGAGCATCACTCAGAATTGCAACTTTCTCAGTTTTAGGTGGTCTTCCTGGATCAAGGACAGAGCTCAATTCAAGGAACCTAGATGATGACAGATTTAGGTGTGAGAATTCATAAGGCAGTGAATAATGTATATCACGAGAGAAAAATCTAGAGGGAGAGATCATGCCTCTCATTAAGTCTGTCCCTCCGCAATTTCTCTCGACTTGCCTTAGATCTCGGGGAGTTGCAACATTCAATTCTCGATCTGTACATAAAGTTAAAACACATGGATATGCATAGAAATAAATAACACCAATTCAAATGGAACTGGTCTTTGCATAGAAAATGATATCTAAAACAACTTGTTTTAACACATCAAAACTTCCCTGTTCTATTTCATTTTCTTGTTTCTTGGGGATGAGAGGGACGGTTATTGGCAACTCATTTTAATGGTGAACCTTTTAAAAGATTATTCACCTTGAAAAGAGTGAAACTGAACAAGGATATCAAAGAAAGATGATTATGAAGAGCACAGCCATGACCTGTAGGCATCCTATCAGAAATTTTTTGTGCTACACAACTCCAAAATTAAGACAATTCTGTTCAGGTCAACCAACAGGTTATTAGAAGGCGTGTGGTCGGCCATGTATTTCAGTTACCTTGATACAGCTTCATACAAGCTGGGAAAGTAGCTCACCAGTTTGAAACTTTGATGTAGCTGCAACTTTGTGTCCTTTCAAGCTCTTCCTGTTGCTACTCCTAGTCTACTAATCTACTGTATATAACTCTTCTTTCCCAAGTTAGTACCTTTTTCTTCTAAGTTTACCCAAATACCACACGCAAACCCTATGTATAAAAGTTGAACCAAAATACTGATTTTCTTTACAACCGAGAAATCCCCTAGGGGCAGTGGCCCAATCTACCCTTCTCCACTTAAATACCAGGCTTCGAACCTGTGACATGTGCCTAACCCACACATCATATGATGCGCTCTTATCACTAAACCAAAGCCCTGAGCCACCAAAGTACTGATTTCTTATGTGAGTTTTCCCTCTCTGGGTGTGTTTGGTATGAAGGAAAATGTTTTCCATGGAAAATATTTTCTTGAAAAATGTTTTCCTCGAAAATGAGTGGTTATCACTTATTTTCCCTTGTTTGGTTGGTGAGTGAAAAACTTTTTTCATAAAATATTTTCTAGTGTTTGGTTAGAGAGTATAAAATATTTTTAGGAAAATAACTTTTTATGCTACTCTCCTCAATCCACCTTCCCCAAAATCCCCATGTTTGCTGTACTCCCCCCCCCCCCCCCCCCCCCCCCCC